CAATTAGTGTCTCTGACACCCAGCTTGCTAGATGTAAAGGGAAATGCGGAATTAAGTATTCCTGAGGAAACAAACAAGAAAGGCAAAACAAATAATATGCTGCTTTTTACTGCAGTGGTATTAATACTTCATTTCCACTTGCAATAAAGTTGCTAATATCAGCAAAATTTATTCTAGATTATAATACTATACAAATATCTATATAAATCAAGTGTAGCACTTGTATTCCTAGCAGCTGGCCAGCGTAGCACTCTGTGTAAACAAGGCTGGTTATTTCTATATTAACCACTCATGGTTATGCCTCTCTCCTGGACTATAAAGCTAGAAGATTATCCTTCACTACACATTTCTTTGTGTTGGACAAAGTGTTGTGGTTTAAACCCAGTCAGGTAATTCGTTCGCTCACTTCCCCTTTCTTGCCCTCCCCCTGCTCTTGGAGGGATGGAGAGGAGAATCAAAAGAATGCAGCTCCCACGGGTTGAGATAAGAACAGTTTAGTAACTAAGGTATAACACAAATCACTACTGCTACTACCAATAATAACAATGATAAAGGAAATAACAAGGGAAGAGAATACAACACCTCGCCACCAGCCAACCGATAACTCGCCCCCCTCAGCCCGACCAAGCACCGACCGATACCTCCTCCAACCCTGCAGTCTCCCAGCCCTTCCGGCTAACTCCCAGTTACATCCTGGGCATGACGTGCTGTGGTATGGAATACCTCTTTGGTCAGTTTGGGTCAGGTGTCCTGTCTCTGCTTCCTCCTGGCTTCCCCTCCTCCCTGGCAGAGCATGAGGCTCACAAAGTCCTTGGCCAAACCAAAACATCGCTATCAGCTCTGTTCCCAGGCCAAAAGTCAAAACACTGCACTGCACCAGCTACCAAGAAGGAGAAACATGACTGCTACTGCTAAACCCAGGACACAAAGTCTAGCAATGAAGGTGCATTTACAGGCAATACAATATGTAAATTATATGCATTGCAATTAAATACATGTCCATTCTTCTGAGAGAGGTCTATTTAGGAATGCCCTGCTGGCTTTAGAAAAGGATTGTAAGTTCAAAGGTTCCTGATTGGAACAATGAATGAACTATGTGAGTGGTAAAGCTAGCTGGAGGAACAAACACAAAAGATTTGTTCAGTGACATAAATTAGGACTTAGAATTGTCTCAACAATTTATGTAACATTTTCTGTGCATAAGTCCATTGCTTGTGGGGTTTAATATTGCATGTGTGATTTGATAGATCCAGTTCAATTTTACAGTGAAGCAAGGACACAACAGATGCCAGCTCTCCATGAAGCAAAAGAAGTGATAGCTGTATTCGCATATTGCAGATGTAGTGAAATTAATCTTGGTTTTGTAACTATTTATTTATTGCATGTGGCATTGTTTTGTCTGGTTTACCGATTTTGGTTGGGGTTTTTATCTTAGTTTGCTTTTGTACATAGCTCACTACTGCCTAAGTAAGAACCTAATATTTGTAATGAACTGAGTGCATCACTTCATGTTTTGGAGTCCAGTGCCAATTGCTTCTTGTAACACAGCTATAACAACAAAGAGCAACTTGAGACACTGATATTGTTCAAGTCAAAATAGGAATGATGATAAAGCTGCAGACGAAAGGGTATGCAAAAATGTACATGTGCTTTGTCCATATAATGTAACTCTCTGCATTCATTATGACAAATTTTAAACACTTGAACTGAGGAAGCTAAACATGCCCAATTACCCTACACAGCAATACATTTTTAGAAGAGACACCTGCTAGAGAGTATTTCAGAGCTTTCATACTATCTCGTAGGTATCCTGCTATACCTTTGCCAAAAGCACTCAGGGAAACACCTCAGCAAGCAAAAGACTTGCAAAGGGTGCCATTTGATGATAGGAACATTACAGATATAATCCTTACTCTGTGCAGTCATCAAAAGCCATTTTAAGTGCTGAGATCTATAGCTCTGCTTTCTGCTTAGTACCATTAGCAAGAAACACACAAGAAAGTTAGAAAACAAAACCACAAACTAAAGAATTCGTCCTCCTCCCTCCCTTCTCCCCCACCCCCCTAAGCATTTGGGTCAAGAACTTTCTTGTTGCCAACTAGCAGCTTTGCCCTTACGGCAGGGTAGCAGGTGGTGGGGAAGAAGCTCTATATGCAATCTATCCATCTAATACCTAGAAGTCCCAGAGGGTGCAAATACAGAATATAGGCATGTACTGTCCCCTTTGAGCATTGCCTGCCATCACTGATAACAGGGCTATTTAAACACACTCCGCTGAAGAAATAAACAGCACTTTCTCTTCAAGTGCCTGAGCAGCAAGCAGCCACTCAGTGCTGAAGGAAGGAGTCTAAGGTTTAATTTCCAGGAAGGTTGTCTGTGTAACAGCAGCTATGTCAGAGGAGCAACATCTCGTTTACACAACAAAATATCCTTGAACTATTAAGCTGCAGGCAAAGACTGCAAATTAAAATTAATTACAAGTGTGTCTTGGCTGCATAGAGACAGAAATGCTGCAGCACATTAGAGAAGTGAGAAAAGACAACAAGGGCACTGGTGAACACTTAATAATAGTTAAATGCCACTGGGAGGGACAGCATCTAGCAGCTTTCCCCTTAATTGGGGGTACTTTTGTTACTGAGATCAAAATAAATTTTCACCTCTGTATTTTTTGAACATAAAACTACAGAGCATTTTCATAGGTGAGGATGATTACTACATTTTTCACTTTACCCATCTTATTCCAGGCTACAAATAGACTCACCTTGCCATTGTGAATATCCCTCAACTTTCTTCCACCCCAACTGTTTATTCAACCATGACAACATTTTGGGATAGGATTATCAAATGGCTAGGATAAATTTCACTGTGATTTAACTTAGCACAGCCTTTTAAGTGAAAGCATTTGCCATTACAGGTCCTGATAATGGTACCCCTAGGTACAATACCCTATTCCAGAAGATCTGTGCTAAACATTATGCATTCCAAAATAGTTACCTCCTCTGGAACAAAATCATTAAGCTGAATAGCCTGACTTAATTAGACTTAAATGTCACCAGTGATTCACTCTGTTTTAATAAACTTATATGTTTTCACGTCACTTCTGTTAATTTATGCCTTCAAAAGCTGGTTGAGTTGTACCAATGCCTCAGGAGCACAGTTAGAAATGATCTGAAAATCCGTCAGGGCCACCTTCTCAAAGGTTTTGTGCCTCTCTAACAGATGCAAACCAGTATCTGTGAAGGTCTTTTTTTCCTTTTTAGGAAAAGACATCACAGGTAGCTTTGTGGCTACTACAAAATTTAGAGCAACAACATAAAAAAAGAGCACGAGTGTACTGGAGGAAGAGCTCTGATTTGTTAGAGAGCTCAGAAAGTGAGCAGAGTGAGAAGCAGAAAACATAAGGAAATGGGTATTTATGGGAAAGCTATTTCAAAATGGTCTCAAAATTTGCTTGGTAGCTTAGCAAGTTCACTGTGTTCCCTAAATTTTTTTTTTTTTTTTTTGAAAGAAATGCCAGAGCTGTGGGTCAGAGCCAAATAAGAGGCTTTTTTCAATATATTTTATTCATCCTGACTTTTCACTGCACGTGGACATCAGGGTTGCCTTAGGAAACGTGTAAAGATGTTAAATGCATTCCATTCAATGACAATTTAAAAGTCAATATATGACTTACCAATATATTCCAAGTGTATTTTTACATGTGGAATGGCAGGAAAGAAGCTGTGGGAGGGATCTCACTTCTGTGCACTGATAGTGCACAGATACCATCCTAAAGCAAACTCAAGCGCTGTAATGCACAAACCCTAGGAACATGCTCTTGAACTCTCCAAAAATCAGGATGGAGATCAGAATATATATAAAAAACTATAGGTCACCTAAGTTTCATAAGGTTGGTACTTGCCACTGTGATGAATCCAGTCTTGGAGCAAAGTTTGCTGGATGGAAAGCCTGCCTCTACTTCAAAGCACAGCTGGGAGTAAACAGGTATGCTAATGAAGAAATTACATATGCTACTCATTTACCAGCTCCCAGAGGAGCCTTAATAGCAGAAGTTGATTACACATGCAGCAGCAAGAAGGTCCTATAGCTGATTAAACACATTTGTGGGTACAGCACTCCTGTCTGCTCTAGAAACAAACAGGATAGGCAATATACAGCAAAAAATAGTTGTAACACATCTCCTAGTCAGATTAACAAGACCAAATACTTGCCCTGATGGACACTACTTGGTATTATCTGCAATTAAATGAAATAAAAAAATTAAAAAGCCATTAAATAAGCATACAAATACCCTCAATATATTTTGTCTGTATGTCTTTATTCCTGTATACATACTGAACAGATCAGCATGCATGGTTATTGCTGACTGCTTTCTATTTTGTTTGAAGCAGCTCCCCTAGAACCAGGTTTGCTTATTTACCCGGTGCTTGAGAAATGGTCTCTAACACTCAATTTTCAGGGATTCACACTCACATCTCTTATTGTAAACTTCATTCTCCTAATTGCTGTTGTAAGGAGGACAACACAAGATGCGGATTTGCTTTCAGGCTGGTTCAGCTGGATCTGGTTATCTGCCATGCTTTATCACAACCTGTGAGACTGGGATCTCTTTTGATGGGCCTTCCTAAGACTTATGTTTTCTTTTTAGCTTCTTTTTTTCCTCCATTTTCACATACACTCACACAACACAGGATACATTTAAAGGAATATGTTGATCTTAATAACCTCTTGAAATTTATCCTGGGGCTAATCAGAGGCTTGCTGTGTTGTGCTAGCTAAATCTATCAGAGTATTGAATAATTCACAGTCTGCCTTAAAAGCTCCAGACTAGATGATGTACTCTGTATTAATGGGATGCTTTTGCATCTTAATAAGCTTTTTTTAATGTTTTACAAAATGTTTCTGAACTCTCCAGCAACAAGGGATGATGGTATGAGCCACATAATTCTAGCAAAGGACAGCAAATAACATCAGATTTATAAGTGTTGCTACAATATCTCTTGTAAGATTGGGCCAGACCAAACCATTTTGCTGAGTCTTACCCCTATTCTGATGACACAAGTGGCTTTTCCCAAATAGTCTGACACTTTAATGAAGTAGTCAGGCATAACAGAAAAGATAAGGCATTCTGAAAGCTGAACTAAGCTTTCCAAAATTGTTCTAGTGCAGAGGTTTTATATCCCTTAGAGAAAAGTCCAAGAAGAGAACAAAAGGAATTTCATCACTCTGAGGCTGGAATTTCAGAGAGAAGTGCTCATGAGTGGGATCATATTTTTCCATTTGAAAGGGAGACAGCGTGTCAGCAGACCTCAGCGTGTTAGGCATATGTTGGGTGTTGAGAATCATAAAATGCAGGCCAGGCAATGTGAACATCCTTCCTTCCAGCTCTACTGCACTTTTGTGTCTTAGCTACACAACAGATCACAGACGTGCCTTTACTAGCCTCTCTAAAGACCAAATTAATGGCATTTATATCTTAAAGCCTGCTTATGTGCTTGCTTGAGAAGGGAGTTGGGGGAAGCTACAATATGTCTTCAATGTCTGCTTGATATACTTCACCAGTATTGGCGTCTTTGTACCTACACAGGATGGAAATGAAATGGAAAATACTTCAACCCTGGGCCTTCCCATAGATGGCAGGATGGCAAATAAACTTCAGTTCTGCTAAATGCAGGCTAATACATATGGGGTGTGGGAGCTGAACTGCTTACCTATCTGATTTTGATTAACTCAAGCTTTTGAGAATTGGACTTCTTGACAGTTTGCATAGAATATAGTGACTCTCCAGTTTCAAACAAGGAAAGACTAGAGAAGAGACAAAAAGGCAAAGAAATGAAAATAGGGAATGTACAACACAGAAGCATAACACAGAATAGAGTGTGAGGTATTACCTAGATTACAGCCTGAAGTACCATTTCCTGCCACTAACAGGCAACACAAATGCATTTACCAATTTCAAAGATAAATTTTTGTTTTAAAAGGCAACACCCCCTCCCCTTTTTATTTTCCTTACATGACCTTGTGTTTCATAATTCTTCTGACAGGGAGAAGAAGGCAGCATTTAGCAGAGTAAGCCATCTAGAAATACTAAAATCTTGAACTCTCAAGTGCTCAACTAGCAATCCAGTAATTCTTCTTTAGCTCGTTTCTCAGCTTGCAGCAGAGATCCAAGCCTTCATTTCATATAGTGCATCCCAGCTCCTCAAATGCCAAGGTACTTGAAGCCATCACGAGCATAATGAATACATAATGCACTATGGAACACCTGCTGTTGTTTTTTAAATTGTCAGTAAGCAATTATGGAAGTCACCTGGGATATAAGACACCCAACTTTTCATTCAGTGCTAATTTAGATAATCATGTTAGCCTCTGGCTTACTGTTTGGTTTGGGGTGGGGCTGCTTTGTTTCCAGAAAATTCAGTCTGCACCTGAGAGGTTTTCATGTCAACTGGCATGTTTTGTTCAGACGTATCAACGTTAACAGCAGCAGCAAAAATGTTCACCGTTTCTTCTGGACACTTCTAAAAAGACACTACAGAGTTATTTTTTCACAGGACATGCAATTGAATGGTGGAGACTGTGGCTACTGTTGAAAAATGTGACTGAACATTTAAAAGAATAACAATACCATCTGGAATTTAAATGATTGCTATTAATACACAAGATGGAAGAAACAATAGACTGCATGCTTGAGAGCTTAAGCCAATCTTTGCTCCTGGGTATTACAAGGAGATCTATTGCAAATTATCCTATCACTGCCTAATTTAGGGTCTCATGAATCTGCACTGGAGCATCTGGTGCAGTCAGACGGGAAATTCAAGTATGAAGTCTTGCTGGAGGTATTTATGTTCTATATCTACAGAATGCGCAAAACAGAGCAAGCTGTGCACCTTCAGAACTTTAGAGAACTAACTCATTCATGTGGGTGATGCATGATGGAGAAAGTTCTTACATACGTGCCTGAGATTAAATAAGTACATCTGAAAATGTTGGATTTAATATACATCTATCACTGTAAACGAGTGCCCATAGGACCATTCAGGTACAATGCCACCCTGAATCATAGACAAGAACCAAAACAAGCCTCAATAGAGGAGCTATTCCATCTCCCAGAACATGAGAAGGATCCGTTTTGTTTATAACATTCATGATGGATGTTGTCTAACCAATTCTTAAAAAATTCCGAACTCAGCAATTCCATAACAATGCTAGGCAGTCTATTTACAGATCTTCATAAGCTTTAGTACCCAGTTCATATCCCTCTCACTTTAAATCAAGCTTACCAAGCAGATTATATCCTTCCTCTCTGCAGCAGCCTTTATGTAGCTGATTCTTATGTGAACCCATTCTAATTCATTTTTACTCTACTGCATTCCACTTTTTCAAGTCACTCTGTGTTTTGTCATGATCTTCCCAAATTCTCATCTTCTCTCGGATTTCTCTGTGGTCCCACGTCATGCTGTTATCTGCAAATGGAATAAATAAATTTTCTATCCTGTTGTGCAGGCCTGTGATAAAATCCTCTGTATCATATATATGCCTTATAAATGATAGGAGGAAACAAAAATCTTCAGAGTCGAGTCAGCATTTTCTTAGAAACTGCAGTCAAACAAGAACAGAATTGAAAATTAAAAACACAGACTTTTTTCATTCTTTTGCTCATATAGCACTTGCTTGTTACAGTTAATCTAAAAAATCAAGCATTCACCTCATTCTAAAATCAAAATGTGCTAATACCAGGAGTAGATGACATATATTTCTGTTTTAGCACTAGTCAGTTTAAACATCAGTCATACAAGAACAGATTTACAGCTGAAATGAGTTGCCTTCTCAGAATAAATGAAGCAGGAAGCCTGTTATTTTCTCAGTCAATCTTTTGCATATAGCATATGTATTGTAACTATAACCCATCTATTTCAAGGTCTGCAGAATTTAAATGCATCCGTATCTTGCAAAAGGAGCCTTAAAACTTATTCTCAAGACACCGATTATTCTGGAGCATGAGTCATTTGGGAATGTATTAGATAATAATAACCTGCAGAGGGAAAGAAATTTTATTCCACAGTCCAAAGTCTTTTTTTGTCTTTTCCAATATCAAAATTTATGGAAGTAGCTCTTCTCCTTGTGGTAAATACAGTTTTATGATGTTACCTAACAAATCTCTTGACTTTGGGAAAAAATTCATGTATTTCCCTACACTTAGATAGAAAATTACAGCAGAGTCAATTACTTTCCTGAAACATGAAACATTCCTGAAGTGCAGCCATTGTATATCATTGCTATAATTTGGTCACTCACAAACCCTCTTCACCAAGTTGCATACCAAGAGCATTTATATGTTTAACACAGAGTTTCATGCATTAGTAGAACAGCAACCATCTTTCTGAAATAAAAATCAGAATAATGGGAGTTCAAGAATATAAACAAAAATGTTCTTACTAGAACTTGAGTTCCTCATTGATCTGAACATGAGTAAGAACTTCTGTGTGTCTTTACAAGTTCTCTTCAAGGCTGAGAGTACATTTAGTGTCTCTGTATTATGGGAGATTCATAATACTCATCTGTCTTGCAGGACTTCCGGAATATTTTCTTCAGCACTTCAAGACTTAAATGAGAGATGCTGCATAAGTGCAAAGTATGATGATGACAATTTTGTAAATATCTCAACAATGATGAATTTTTACTTCTCTTCACTCAGTTCCTTAGCCAGAGCACTTAATAGTTTTATTCAATCATTTATATAGTAAAATCCCTTATTTACAAAAATAAAAGACTTATCCTGATTAAATTGTTTCCCTTTAAACAGAGATGAACAATTTTCACTGTGGGTCTTCAACACTTAACTGAAATATAACCAAACAGAACCAAGAAATGGTAAGAAGCATCTTAAGAAGCTACTTAAATTATGAATGGCTTTGTGTAGTTTTAAAATTCGCATATTTTCCATTCTGCGTGGCAACAGACTGGAGACTTATTCTTACTCTGTGGATATGTTGTAACCAATCTATTTTCCACAGAGCTTTCCAAGGGAAAAATGACAAATTAATTAATTAAAAGCTTTATAGAAGACAAAGCCTAAAATAGGATCACCAATTATTACAACTATATTGTTCCACATCATGAGCAATGGTTGCTTGAGAACCTAAAAAGACCTTGTTCTATACCATTATAGAGCAGAAGGCCTTTTAGCTGTAATACTCTTGGATAGTTGTGATGGTGACATATATATAGTCTTGTCTTACTCAGAGGAGTTGAAGCCATGCCTGGCATTTTTAAGTGCTACCACAGAACAAAGAATCAATTATAATGATTTTTAATACTCTCTGAGTTGTCACTTCAGGGCAGGGACCGTTTTTGTGCTTATAGGCCACCTAATGAAACAGGGCCAAAATTTAATTAGAAGGTCAAAGAGCTGGTGAAATTGAAATAACAAAAAAATAACTGCTATATTTACAGAACCAGCATGAAAACCCCAAAGAACCTGGCTAGAACAGCTGTGCCAGTACAGAACATAATTAACCTCTGATATATGTCAATGTCACATTAGGACTTAGAGCAAATCTTTCTGCTGCAGCTTGATCTCAGTATTTCTTTACCTATTCACCATGGACAGAGAGAACAGATCATTCTTCCTCTTTCTGAAACAGCCTTTTATGCACTTGAAACTGCTAATTCCACTCTGTTCAGTCTTCCGTATTTTACTCTCAGTAATCTCAATTCACTCAATCTTTCTTTGAAGGTCATGTGTTGTAGACTTCTGCTCATTCTCATTGCTACCCCCTAACATACGTCTAAACTGTTCATTTTTTTTCCCTTGAACTGCAGTGCTACCTTCTTGACCCAACAGTATTATCACAGCATACTATTAAATATAGAAGCTTTCCAGAAAGCTGATATAATACATCCTGTTAAAAAGCTGAGCAGCAAATAAAAGACTAGAGGAACCATAGTCCATAGTAATGCCTAGAGCACTCTCTACTAATGTTAACATGATAATAAGTGCATGCTGGGCTGAGAGCTGGCAGGTAAACTTACTGTCTGTTGTGAGCAATTTCAAACCTCCTGGGGGCAGTGAAGATAAGAAATCAGCATTCCTACTCCAAAAGCAGATTCTAGCCAATTCACTTTAATTGGTAGATCTCATCTCTCCAGTGCTGCCTCATTTCAGTACCAGTATAATGAAATGAGTCATCCTGTTACCTCTTCCTACTTCTAATGCTGTCAGCAAATTGCAAGGCCTTAAGTAGCTCAGGAAAAAAAACCTCTTTCTGCTGTTTCCTAAACTTAACCCACTTAGAACCCATGTGTTACAGAACAAGAGTACAAACTGGAGGCTTCTTAGCAATATTTCAGTGAATAACAGACTGTTATTTCCAAGAGAAGAAATTGTGAAACAAGTTTAACAAAATAAAATGAGGTTAATAAAAGCCATTCCAGAGAGACTGCAAGTAATTTTATAAAGAATATTGTTGATTGCATGTCTACGGGATAAACTAATACAGTGAAAGAGGTCTTGAGGAGGGGAAATGAACAGAAGATTGAGACTGGTTTGCATACATTTGAAAAAAACTCTGTCACAGTATAAAAACAGCATGCCAGTCTGCTTTCAAATGTAATCAGTGCATTTTGGTTTGTTGATAGGAAGGTAAGGGGATAGCCAAATTCAGGTTAGCATAAGTGACTGTGAAGTGATTAATACTTAAGATACCTGAGGTAGAATAACTAGAAGTGCAAGATGTAATTAAGGAAATAAAGAACATGAATAGTAATGCTCTTCATACCTGGTGAGAAAGAGAGCATTGTTGACAT